CCCTTCCTCCCCTCCTCATCCTCGCCCTTCCTCCCCTCCTCATCCTTGCCCTTCCTCCTCTCCTCATTCTCGCCCTTCCTCCCCTCCTTATCCTTGCTCTCCCTCATCCTCGCCCTTCCTCATCCTCACCCTTCGTCCCGTCCTCATCCTCGCCCTTCGTCCCCTCCTCATCCTCGCCCCTCCTCATCCTCGCCCCTCCTCATCCTCGCCCTTCCCCATCCTCGCCCTCATCCTCCCTCATCCTCGCCCCTCCTCATCCTCGCCCCTCCTCATCCTTGCCCTTCCCCATCCTCGCCCTCCCTCATCCTCATCCTCCCTCATCCTCGCCCTTCCTCATCCTCACCCTTCGTCCCCTCCTCATCCTCGCCCCTCCTCATCCTTGCCCTTCCCCATCCTCGCCCTCCCTCATCCTCACCCTCCCCATCCTCGCCCTTCCCCATCCTCATCCTCACCCTCCCCACCCTCGCCCTTCCTCCCTCCCGCTCCTCGCCCTCCTCACCGCGGCGCCCGCTCCGCGCAGGACGTACTCGGGCCCGTTCCGCACCATCACGGTGCGCGACACCATGTCGGACCTGCCCGAGGTGCGCAACGGCGCCTCGGCGCTCGAGATCTCCTACAACGGCGAGCCGCAGTCCTGGTTCCAGCGGCAGATCCGCGGCTCCCAGTACCAGCCCATCCTCCGGGACCACATCTGCAAGGTGCCGGGGACAGGGGCGCTCCTTCCCGCCGGGATCACCCCCGGCATCCCGCCGCCGTTCCCGGCTAACGCGGGCTATCCGTGGGCGCAGGACATGAGCGCCTTGGTGGCGGCGCGGATGCGGCACATCCCGCTGGCGCCCGGCTCCGACTGGCGGGACCTGCCCAACATCGAGGTGCGCCTGTCGGACGGCACCACCACGCGCAAGCTGCGCTACACCCACCACGAGAGGAAGAACGGGCGCAGCAGCTCGGGCGCCCTGCGCGGCGTCTGCTCCTGCGCCGAGGGTACGGCCGGGGCCGGGCGCGCGCGCGTGCCCCCC